TGCATAACTCAGTTTTGAGCATATGCATGAGCTCGGAACTGAGACTTTCCCACAAAAGTTAAGAGTGCATATGTCATTTGTGGACTCCTCCTACCGCGCACCATCATAGCCATATCTAAACTTAATTTGTTTCCAATCTTAGGCCGATGCAGTTATGGCCCCAAATGCATAGTATGAAGTTTTTTTAAGATTTTCAGAGAGGTTTAAGATCAGCCCTTAGCTATAACCTTCTCAAACTCCCCCTCCCCTTCTCATGCAACTTTCCTTCCAAAGCTAAGAAATAATGACAAATGGGCCTAAATACGTTGCAAATTTGTAGACCGCTTGTGATGTAGACAACCCTGGCACCGTGAAGCCTTATAAAACCTGCTTGATGTATCAAACATGGTTAGTGACACAATTCAAGGTAAAAATTTCAGAGCTGAACTGAAGTTTTTCGTGTGATTTCTTCGATACCTGCTGGTTGGCCAATGCAGACTTGAGATTTGGGGGTGCATTGCAGGGTGCTGTCTTTCAAGGTATAAAAATGAGAGGAAAGTGGCACCTCCAGTAGGCAAGCAGTGCCAACTGGCTCCACAAAACCTAACAGGATCCATGGGCACCGTAATTGAGCGATGTATCATGCAGTACTCATAGCTGCAGGTTATCATTTTTCAACAGTAAGAAGGATTGCCTGGGGAAAGACAACAACAACATTAATTGGTGACATTTTGGAGTTCCAAAGAGTTCCTGTGCCATGAAGTTATGTTATCTTATGAGTGCCTTAGACGTGTCAATGGAACATTGTTTAAATGTAACTAAATACTGTGATGATCCTTTTCAATAAGAAATGGAGGACCACAGGGTACCTAACCCAACACTATGCCTGATAGGCAAGTGAGACCCCCAAAGGTGAAATCCTCTGAGACCAAACATGACTAACTCGTCACCAAAGTAAGAGACCTGAAGGCCCCAGTGTTCACTTACGCTATCTAAAGCAAACAAATATAGGTAGTGCAACACTTGGGACATTAAAGAATGGCTTGAAGGAGAAACATACTGATCCCCATCCACCCCGACTCCCCCCCCCCCGCACTTGGAATACCTTGGTTATTGCACTAATAGTGGTCAAATGTTAAGACGTGTTAATGGTGCGTCCCAAATGGCATGCTATATGACATATTTCTGTAAATGTACGAACACTCCAAACACAAGAGCATGTTCATCATTTATGTGTCAAACCTACAGTTTCCCCAAATGTTTGTATTTTATATGACTATCATTAATCACAGGAGCACAGTAGCTTAGGAGCATAAGTTTAGGAAGGCACGAACTGAGTACACCATGTGATCTGGCAATTTTCTACCAGATTGAAATTTCTGTTTGTCGATTTTAGATTTACTGAAGGTTTCATTTGGATAGAAATGTCTTCATATCACAATATCAAATTGCGTCCTTAACTGAGCCTTCGCCTGGAAAGTAGAAAAGCCATGTTACAGATAGAAGCGTCAACATATGGCCTGGACTGAGACACCAAAAACAGAATGCAAATTAGCAAAACCACGGCTGGAAATTAACAAACTCGAAACACGGAGAACCAAACGGGTACTTGCGTTTTATCAGCATGCATTAGAGCCTAGTAATACCCGCAAAATTTGCCATTACAGCATTCCTATTTTAGTTATGCATGCATGAGACACTTTTATCGTGTTCCCTCTTGTAATCTGACCGCATTATTTCGATAGTTCAACTTAAAATCACCGCTTAGAACTGGAGCGACGTGCACCTCAAAACAAAAAAGTTGGTCGCGACCATTTCAGATCACTGACCTCTCAACGTTCATGAATTTAAATCAAGAGGTTTGTTGACACTCCCGTGTGTATTCAAGACATTCAAAATAAACATCAGAAAATATCCCGTAGTTAATCTGACTTTCTTCAGCTTCAGGCGCGCCTTTTGCATCTCTTTTGGGGCAACGGGGGGGTCCTGTGTGCGTCAGGAGCTTACAGTGCCTAATAGGCGCTTCTGTTTCGGCAAGGGGTCTCGAGTCGGCCAGGAGAACATTTGCTGAGCAGGGAAAGTGACGGACCCCGAATGTCAGCGTGTCCCTCGTGTTGGTCCAGGCCCTCTGACAGAAGGCACGGGATCGTATGATTATGGCCTGCGATGAGGCAATGAAAGCGCCATTTGTCAGCCAGGGCCACAGTACCAAACCGGGGGCCCTCTACCCCATTTCAGCCAAGGACACGCTCAGCCCAACTGGAGTCTCTGTGCCGATTATTGGACCACCTGCAGCGATAAACAATCTTGTTGCATCAGTGAGGACTCGGGCGTCGATTTGGGTCTAGCTGCCCGGGTTAGAGGGTTTTCTGCTGCAGGGAGGACCATCAAAGGAGTAATTTTGCAACATGAGGTCTGGGTGGGCTAAGTAATAAAAGATGATGACACATGCCTTTAAATACGCCAGCAGGCTGGATTCTCTCCGCAATTGGTCACCGTGTTCTTTTCAAAGCGTGGAAGGAGCCCGAGTTGGCAGGGTGAATAGGCGCCTTAATTGAATAGGAAACTACACCCGGACCGAAGCATGACGCATCCCTCAAAAGGCCTCCGGATCAATGAGGATACCCCGCCCCACGTCGCCAGAACGGCTGCCGGAAGACACCCCGCGCTCGGACGAAATGGCCTTTTACCCTTGACCGGAGCAATAATATGTCCCTAGTGTTCCAGCCACGGACTCCATGCCCCAAAACAGGTCAGCGGTGACAGTAATATTTAACAGCGTAGGCTTGACCTCATTTTTAACCAAAATGAAGTCAAAATGAAAAATGGTCAACGCATGTTTGCCTAAGAACTATAGTCCTTGAAGAATTGGCAAAGGAGGCAAACAGCCTTATCAACAAGAAAAGCGATAGCCAGGGCTGGGCTTCCACAAAATCTAACAGCGTTGACTACTGCAGATAACGCCGGGCGGTGGGGCGGCCGGGCGCGAGAACGACCGTCGTGAAATGATGCTCCCGAAACTCGTTCATAATCAATGCGTAGCGTTTGAAGATTAGACCGTGACATGTTCTTCGCCTGTATAAGATCTAGGTTCTCCCCAGAGCAAGTTAACAGGTCCAACAACACGAAAGATAGAGATTGTACCTGAACTCTCCCACTTCCACCACTGCAGATTCCAGCACCAGTTAACGATGCTGTAAAGGATAATCCGTTCCCTTTATTTACCTGAAAATCGCGAAGGTGAAATCTACTGACGAACTACCTTATTAAAGTACGAATTGATGTCAAGACCCGTTTAAAGGAGCCTTTTTCAAATGCGCCATTACTGTCATTTGCCCGTTGGCCACCGCCTGGCGTTGGCCGCGGAGCTCCTACTGCGCGCCCAACGGAGACCACGGAGACCGCGACGGAATTTTTGGGATTTTTGGCACTTGCGAGCGAGCTGGTTCAAAACTACATAATCTAGTTTTTCCCACTTCTTGATTCCGACTGAAGGTTGAAAATCCCAGAAGAATATGGGTTGACCGTGTGAGTATACATTTCTGGCTCGATTCTGATCTACAATTTACGTTCGCGAGGTCCGCAGCATCGCTGTAGAACTCTGTAAAACTTGGGAAAGCTTCTGAATTATATTGGTTTGAAAACAGCCCACTGAGCCATTGTGGAATTATGAGTGCCGGTAATCTATTTCCTGCAGTCATTTAAAGATCGCTTGCTGAAATTTATTAACTTCGAAGTGCCAACAGACTTTCGTCATTCGGTAACTTATTGATTCTGTTCCAGTTAAAGGAGATAAAAAGAGCTAAAACTAAGAAAATCTTGCCCCTCGAAATCAGTAAATCCTGTGCCCCCTCCCCTTTCTTACCAACGCTATGTCTGCACTCCTGTTCCCGAAAAATACTTCGAGATACACTACACATTGTTACATCTTTTGATTGCTTTAGTCATAAGCCCTACGCACACGACTTTTAGAATGCTCGCCGCAAAAGAGCATTGTGGTGGAAGATGCATCCGGATGGGCGACGTGGGGATTAGGAATGGGTAGCGGTGGGGTATGTGCACGGCACCATGAGTGATGGGTAGAGTGGGCTGAGGAAATCTTTCTTGCGAAGACCTTTACAGACTGGTCAGATAAGCAACTTATAACTGCTACTTTGCCAACCTTGGCTGGCATTTCTTTCGTTTGTCTGATTAAATTTCGGTGATTTGACTAGATTGCACGTCTTAAGAAACCACTAAAGCCATGGGATTGTTACGTGTGTTACTTGCACTGCTACGTGTTCTGTTTTATGTCATTACCAGTCAGGCTAATCCACCCTAGAATCCAACCTTCTTTTTGTGATTCTGAATGAGAATCACTATAACGGTATGACAGGAATCAAAGTTTATTCAAAAACTCCAGCTTTTAACTCGTAATTCGGCTCACATTTCTTTCGGAATCGATTCCAATGACGCGACGGTGAATCAGACACAAGTATTCCGTACTCCACTCCCTCACTACCAGCGGAGGTCGGCGGGCGGCGCATGACGCCGCCCCGCCCACGTCCGCTCTCACCCGCTGCACCCATTCCCACCACGACCACCGGAGGTCGGCGGGCGGTGCGTGCGCCTCCCCCGCGTCCGCTGTCCGCCACTGCACCCATCCCTCCTCCCACGGCCACCGGAGGTCGGCGGGCGGTGCGTGCGCCTCCCCCGCATCCGCTGTCCGCCACTGCACCCATCCCTCCTCCCACGATCAGCGGAGGTCGGCGGGCAGTGCGTGCGCCTCCCCCGCGCCCGCTGTCCGCCACTGCACCCATCCCTCCTCCCAAGACCAGCGGAGGTCCGCGGGCAGTGCGTGCGCCTCCCCCGCGTCCGCTGTCCGCCGCTGTGCCCTATCCCTGACCCCACCCCCTCACGACCAACGCGTCGGCGTCGGCGTCGGCGTCGGCGCGCTGACCGCCGGCCAACGATTTTCCGGTCGTCGTCATGGCGACGTGACGTCACGTCTGTCCAGTCAATACGGCGCTATTGAATGCCGAGAGGCGTGCCGTTGGGAGGCGCAGGAGACTGGCGCGGGCCTTGTGGCGGCCAGTCATGGCGCTGGCAGTGAGACGAGCTCGACAGGTGAGCGAGCGCCGGGGGGAGCGACCCACAGGCTCGTGGGTGCCCAGGGCCAGGCGGTGCCGGGAGGGACGGGCCGGGCCCGACGGTCAGACAGCGGAGGCGGTCCGCAGGTCGGCTCCGATAGTGTCACATGCTCGTGCGGCTGGCCGGGACGACTGCGGTGTCTGGTTGGGACAGTGTCTGCTCTGCGTTACCTACCTCCGGCCTACCCGACCGAGCTTTGCTCCAGCGCGTGAGGCGTAAACCGAAGCAGTCCTAGGTCTAGCATGTAGGTTGGAAGCGAACATGGAACAGTAAGATGCTCTAAGTCGTAGAAACATTTCATTAGAGCGTACGGATGTGGCTATCAAATTATTTTCAGGCTGATGTTGGGAAGCCGCTTAGAGCTTGATGCGACCTTGCAAGATCGCTTCTTCTGTTCTGTTTTTGTGTAGTTTCCTGCATTGCCTGCGTTGCTGTACTGCATATACCGCAAGGGAACGGTTTGTGGCCAAACGGCCAAGGCTAATTGTTGATCATTTTATAATGAGGATACATGAAAAGACTGTCTAATACCATTTGATTGAGACTAGATGGTTTGATGACTGAATAAAACAAACTGCTTCATTTCAGCAGGAAACAAAGGCCATAATGTCATGTTCTTACAAACGCTTGCCATCTATGTCCTTTTGCCTTGCACGGCGCAGATCATCGGTTAAGACTGACAAAGATAGCCCGATCTGGTGTTCCGCCCCGACTTGAAATGACTTTGGCGCACGCAGATGATGTCGGCACGATGTATGAGGTCCCTGTATGTATATTTTTTGATATGTGGATTATTTTGGACCATCCCATCATGATGGGTTTTCTTTGATCCGGGATATGTGCGATCTATCGCGCGTTCTCGAGGCATGAATGTCTCCAAAAGAAATAAATTGCTAGACGTCATTAGAATGTGGTCACCTCGAAGCGTGTTCCACGAAATGAGTGGGTGAATTGAACAGGGACATATTCCTGGACGTATGCGTTTTCCTTGATCGATCTCCGTGCAAACTCATTTGTGGCAAATTTATATGTCTATGAGGTAAAGGTTAAATTTGAGATCATTGTCCCAAGTGTCCCTAGACATCCTGACACAGAAAAACTTAACTTGCAAATAGTTATAGGTTGTAAAAAGGTTTTTATTTGAAAAAACAACAATGATAATAAGCTCTGTTTTTTATTGCAAAAAGACCACATGCATGGAGTATAGTCCCTAGCTTCTGTCGCTAAGCATAACCGGTCTGCTCAAATGCATGGTGATGCCTACCTATTCAGTTAGGGCCTTCAGTCCCCCCTAACTTGAGATCCAGATCCCACAACTTTGAGAATAAAGTGGATCAAATCCGGGAGAAATCCGTTTGTTAGCTTGTGTTAGTATCGAGTTATTTTTCACTGTTCAACCCCCACCCCTCCCGTCCATTTTGCGAAGCTACGCCCGGTGCTGTTTGGTGTTTACCAATGCGATGGTTTCCAGGGATGTTTTCAGAATATTTGCTTTCCTGGTGGCCCCATGCTAGTTGTGTCCCTATACCACCGCTCTGAGTACCGCCCGCTGTATTGTTGAACGCGCTGCACTGTTGAGAAGGGTGCAAGGATTGCTGGTGTTAGGTTGGAGCGGGCTGCCGCGAGTCTCTACAGCGTTAAATGCGAATCTCCCCCCCCCCCCCCCACCAATATCTTGAAAACTGACCTTTCGAATGTCAAAAATTCAGCGGCGTTCGATTGCCCCCGACAAGATCCTCAATTCTCAAGCAAATCTCAAGATTGTTGATAGGAAGCAATAGGTGGGAAAACATCTCTCTCTCTCTCTCTCCTCTCTCTCTCTCTCTCTCTCTCTCTCTTGGATTTTTATTGATTCACCATAGCTGTAATGTTTTCAGCCGATTTCCACGCAAGCAACAAATTAGAAGTTTATGTGTACAGCAACGAACAGCAGCATTGAACAGATGAACGGCAGCATTGAACAGATTGAACAACATTGAACAGGAACACTGAACAGATGAAAACTCAGCGGTGCAACCAGGAGGCGTGAAAATATTTGATATGCTAACATTACTAAAAGTGGGTTACTTTGAGCTAATGTGGAGCACATCAGACTGTACATTGCTATGATATTGAAAAGTAGGTACGGACCAAAAAATGGGCGGTAACAGATTCATAGGAGGTGCCAGTATGGTGAAACGGGAAGGTCTGATGGGTGTCTGTTATAAATATTGGTTACAGCGCTACTTAGCGGTGGAAACAAATTATGGGGTTTAGATACAATGTGGGTACAGGTATATGTCGTCAGTCTTAACATGCGCTCGGGTGGACGGGGGTCAGATTGATGCCCTGCTAAGGTTTTCCAGAATCATTTCAGAACGGTGCGGTGTGACCGCACTAACCCGCTGTAACCTGGCATGTACCATGTGAGGTCGTTGACGTATGGCAGGTCAAAGTCAGGCGATGACAGTCAGCGAGAGGCATTTCTATGGAACCGTTAAATGTGATGCAAGAACAGTGTTAGATGAAGCAATGCATATCTTAGATACGTTCTTAGATAATAGACTAATCGAACTTATGATTACAGCTACTTGCAATGACCAAGTGTCAGGTATAAAGGCCAGAACCGGGTCAAAGCTAGAGTGTCTTTTACTCGAAAGCTTAGTTTTATCGGGTGGTTTGTGGTGTTTGTTTCGAGTTCATTAATGACGGACCGCAACAGACATGCTCCATGGACCTTTTAAAGGCAAGTGTAGGTCAATATCCTAACATGATCTGGGTCAACATATCGTTTTTAGGAACATATCACTTGGCGTAATCCCTGCCGCTTACTCGAATGGCAAATAGGAGCAATCTCGTAGATATTTGGTCACCTTGGCCTCATCAAGGTCAAACAAGGTCACTGACCTCATTGATCTTTTGCTTAGAACAGGCATCTAACTTTTCGTCAGTTGTATGAGGAGGTCTGGGGTCACTTGAGGCGCCAATTTTAGGTTTAACCTTGTTTGACCTTGTTCGACCTCAAGGTCATGACATAGGAATCTCAAATTTTGACTCAAGTAAATTCACGTAGAAGTTAATCTACCCTACCAACTTGGTGTTTCTGGCTAGTTTGGTTATCGAGGTCTCGGGAGGGGGTCAAATTGACCCCTGCCACTCCCATCTGAGGGGGTTTCAGCCGGCCATCCGGGCACGTGCTAATGCGCGTATCCAGTTTTCAAGAGTAAGGGAAGAGACAAACGACTAGATTTTGGCCCATCGCCGTGGCCGAGGACTGTCCGCTGTTAGAGGCCGCCTGTCCTGTATGACCATCGGCAAATATTTGGTCGTGCAGGGAGTCTTCGAAACGCTATCCTCTTCATAGGTTACCTTCGCCCCATTTATGAGTTCTGAACTTGCATTTAGTATATGTTTATAGAGTTTGTTAAGTGTTTAGCATTGGAGGATGGAATGTTGCTAAAAGATTGAGGTCTTCATGTTCCAGCTGAGATAAGTTCCCTGACTCTCGTCTATGGAGGCGGACCTGTGCAAAATGCTTATTTTCCCTCCGCCAGCTTCACATGTGTATACACTTGCCTTCACTATTCACTCATAGCATCCACTCATGCCATGCTAGCATATGGAAAACTGGACTTGCAATGGGGTGAGCGAACGTTCGCTGGATACCCAGCGCGCCAAAGTGTGCAAACGTCACAACAAATCGTGCCATCTGCATATGTCATGCTATCGAGATCAGGGGGTGGAAGGGTCGGAAAGGCGCTTGCCCCCGTAATTTTTGGACGGGAGTCAATGCCCCCCCTCGCCCACGACTTTGGCGGAATCAATCTTAAATTGTTTTATGTACAAACTTGTTGTTGAGTTGGAGGCCATTGCGGATTTTGTTCATTACATTCGGTATAACCTTCCAGTATTTTTGTTTTCTGTAATTTTCTGTCATGTAGATGACTTATTTAAAGAGATTAACGCAACCCTGTGATTTGGTGGAAGATGGTTGTCTTGAAGTTTCTTCAAAAAGCTACATTGTCAGCGATGAATATTTGTCTGCCGTTTCGCTTATGATTAAGATTATATTTCATCATTACCATGCACGGCGCACGCGCCATGCGGCAGGGACACTGAGCCAGGAGTTAAGCCAGGATACGGTGTACAGGAAGCCACTTGACATACGTTTGTCGCGTCGGCATCATATTCAGATGAGTGTCAATATTCGCGTCGATGGCCTGCTATTGGTTCCCTACTGGGTATGGCTGGTATTATTGATTGTCCTTGTCGTGTTGAGCGAGGTAAATGCTTGTTATTGCACCCAAGAACCGAATGAGTTCGTTTTAAATAAAATTACGTTAGACACGCTGGAACTCCGATAATTGGTAACAAAAGTAGGATCTACGGGCACATACGGCCTCATTGTTTTTACTCAATGCAAAAGACTGCATTGCATCTCTGAGCAGATTTTTCGGTAACTTAGAAATCCTCTCTCGCGTAAGAATGCATGGGTATAGAAGGCTGTTGTTAGGCGCGACAAAGCATGAAAAACCCTTAAAAAGGCCTTGATAATATTTATTTTATATGAAAAATATCGGTCTTCTGTACATGCACTCATGTAGCAAATCCCGTACCCAACCCAAAAACGCCGGTGGTACCCGCAGTTTCGTTGTGATGTAGACATATTCTTGCTCTTACTGCCCGGAAGGTGTCGGCGTCTCTAGGAAAATGTGGCCCGTTTTGATCATGGGCATGATTTTTGGATGAGCATGCTTATAGCTCATTAACATTAGTTGTCACGCACTGCACTTATCACGGCGTTTTTTTCCAAAACAGATGTTTCTGCCGGAGTTATTGATTGCTCAAAAATAGGTCAACACCTGAGATGAAAGCACATTGTGTTCAAAAGTATGCAGACTAAACTTTGCAACCAGACACGCTTGAAGCTCGCATGACGTATTGGTCTAGGAGGAGGGAACATTCGCAATGTACTATCAATCTGTTGCTGCATGAACTAATTTAGAGCTCATGGAACATTACACAATTCAACTCCAGACAACGCTTGAACCGCGGACCAGGTTACCCATTCAGGAGGACGAAAATGTCGAGGAGCTCCAGCCAAATCCCGTCGTGGCGGCGTTCGTCGTAAGGTGCCCCTCAAATTTCCCTATTTGCGCATTGATTCATGACCGTTTTCTTTTTCTTCATGATCACATCGTTTCTGAAGTGATGACTCACCAAGAACTTCGGGGCCTAAGCTTACCATTGTAGGTCCTAACTGACGACAGTGCACCCGTGCATTGGCGTTTTAGGTTGGATCACGTCATTACATTCATGCATTAGGTCAAATAATGCCCCAGAATGGGACCCTATAACTCATCGTTACGCAAAATTGCTTTCATTCAAGGGATTGTGTCCGCCGAAAAGTTATTACCTGACCTGACTGAATCGATATGAACAGATATGGACATCATAAACTGAAAGTCACTAAGTGACGCTAGCAATGCAAAAATAACGGACGGAACACTGACTGCCTTTTGTTCTAATGTGCAAGTCCAACCATGAGAACTATGAACTCTGCTGAACTTTTGGACAGCAGTTTGTATATGGTTACTACCAACAACACCCTTGGCTGTTATATCCGTTGCACGACGGCGCTCTGCGCGAAATTCTCATAAACATCACATGCATGTTTGGAAGTTGCGGCATCACCTATAGATTGATTGTACACTGATTGTTCCTTACTTCAATAAATGTGATCGTTAACGACACAGGCTTTACTTCTCAGCTGTGTTCCTTGAAACGTGGTATTGCCGGTTAAATTTGACTCTTAACATTCAGACACAACTCTTCCAAAAACTTTCTAGAGCTTGGGTATTTCGAGTGAGAAATATTCATGGAGAAGGCTTGAATTATACCCAGTTCCACTCTTTCAAAATCAGGAATGTCCTCCAACTTGCCGTTCGCCATGTCGAGACGGTATAGCGGTCAAGGCGCGCGAACATCTCCACCAAGAGTAAGATATGAAGTCCTTTGGGGTTTGAAAATGCGTGTCATGGCCACGGGATTGATGCCTATTTGTTTTATTAAGAGGTCCCTCCCAGATCTCCATTTTTGAAATGACCTTGCGATGTTTTGCAAGGTTTGAACAACCTGTCGTAAGTATCTGACCGTGACCCTGCTAGACTCCATTAATCACCCCTTGTTGCTGATTGATCTGGCGTCGTCTATAATACTTTGATAGTGGCGAAACGCGATCTTGCCCTGGTAAGCGAGTAGTTACATAGCCGTGGCCTGCGCGCTGGGCCCGTGTTTGCGTAGTCCTGGCTCGCTTCTTCCGGTCACGTTTGCACCGGCGTGTTATGCTTGGCACTAATGACGTTGGATGAACTGTTATATAAACCACCGCTCTTTGTACTTCTCTATTACATAAACCAACTCTATGCACCATTACATAAACTACCCGCGACTACACCCTTCGCCGCTGGTGTCCCAATATATGGCTGGCTTTGCTTCATTGGATTTGCATGCTTCTCCGCATGCGCCGTTAAACCCTCACTGGAGCTCGCCGCGGTGGTGCGCCACATGGCGTGCTTGCTAGGCTGTGCCACCTCTGCACATCGGTCTGCCCAAAATGAGTCCGGCGCTCCACCGCCGTTGCCACCGTTACCACCCGCGTTCTGCCACCACGTTCTTGCGGCTTGAATGGAGCCTCAAATGTCGCGTGAAAGACGTCATTTCGCTATGGCTGCCATCTGGACGCCAAAGACGCCAGCTCGTTAGGTAGCTGCCTGAGGCTATTTATAAACGGCATTAGCGAACGTTTTAAGGACTCTGGCCCAGTTTTCTCCCCGGTGGCGAAAGGTGTTCATCAGCCTCTCCGGCTGGTTGGTGACCTGCGGCAATCGAAATAGATCTGGGTTGTCGCTCTTGATCTTTTGGATGATGTTTCTTGCCAGGAACTACACCACGCGGTGATAACACCGATGAGGTGATAAAGCCATCCATCGAAAGAATGCGTCTTGTGAAGGCCACGCCTTCTTCCTCACCTTATCAGTGTGCAGCCCCATGCACAGATGTGCGCCGTTTAGCATCACTTCAAAAGGATTCGCTATTATTCAAATAAACGCACAAGAGGAAATCACCAGCACCGCGCTGTGTAGCACACCATCTACCAAAACACTAAACAAAGAACCAGGGAAGCATCCACGAACAGCTTTCATGCGATGAATCCGGCCTCGTAAAGGTCACCTTCACCGCACTTTACGGAATTGTTCACATGTTCGATGAAGATGTTATTTGAAACGAGGACTGTCACACAAGGTACATGCTATTAATATGTGCTTAGTTTGCTACCAAGGCTATCATCCAGAAGCATTGTTCATATGTTCGGTGAATATGTTATTTAAAACGAGGACTGCCACACAAGGCACATGCTATTAATGTGCGCTGGGTCTGCTACCAAGGCTATTCCGAGGCAGCTCCCCGCTCAGCTTTTCTTGCTCTGCTGCTTCTCGACCAGCCAAGTTTCTCTTGGCTGGTCGAGACTGATCGCCGCATCTTCAATGGGGATGTTAGAGGACTGCACAGTGAAGCATGTAGCACCCAACCAGTCCACGCGCCAGCCAGTGGATGCTCCGTCCTCGATGGTTCGTCTCCCGAGGCGCGGCGTCCGTAGCGGGCAGACCCCGCCGGGACGTGGATACGGGCGGGCTTCCACGCAGCGGTCTTCGCGCAGCGCGCGGAGATACACAGGGGGCCGCAGTTCAGACGTTTCACATTTTTGGCACCCTCCCGGTTCTAAGAGGCATCGTTTCTGCCAGCCTCATCGTCGCGTGGTGAGACTCGGAATCTCACGCACCGGCTTGATGCTGGGTGCGCTGACATCGAGGTCATACCTTGATGCTGGGTGTGCTGACATCGAGGTCATACCTGGAGGCTCCTGTGCGAGAACAGCTTCGGATTGGCCATGTTTGCGTGGACGGATAATGCACATGCACCCAACTTGACTGTGTACTGATTTCCAGTAGGCGAGCATCATACCACCCGTAACTTAGGTGTCCCGATATGCTGGAGAAATGCATATCTCCTTCCCGCTATCGATCGCGCTGGGAGAGAACAGCGGCGGACAGCCACCTGCGGCCGGTGGACCGCGTTGTGATAGGGCGGAAGTCGGATGCGGTCCGAACAAGTCTGGTACCAGAGTCTGGCAGAGGCGTGTCAAGTGGATCACAGTGAGGGGTATCAACGGTGACGTCGGCGATGGCCGCTGGCTTCGCGGTAGATCCCCGGACGCTGACGCCGCCATTGGGCGCCGAGAAGGTGCCGCTGTGGGAGTGTAGCGCAGGCTCCTGCCCCGTCCTTTGACCTGACCTCAGCTGACCTGGTCCCGTTCTCTGCCGCCAGACCGGACCCAGCCATGCCGGAGCAGAGCAACGACTACCGCGTGGTAGTGTTCGGCGCCGGGGGCGTCGGCAAGTCATCGCTGGTGCTGCGCTTCGTGAAGGGCACCTTTCGGGACAGCTACATACCCACCATCGAGGACACGTACCGGCAGGTGAGACGCCACCCGGGGGCACGGCTCGGCCGTGGCCGCAGTCGCTCCGGCTGCGAGCAGAGAAGCCTGAGCTATTGCTAGCAGACAGTCGACTTGGATGGAGAAGCGCTCACTGGTTCAGACCATGGCAAGTGCGACTGATTTGTGATTGCAACGGATGATGAGAGCGGATCGGCGGCAGAAATTACAGGCGACCCGCCGGGCCTCCGGGAACGCCGGCCGACCCACAGTGGGGGGGGGGGGGGGGGGGGGCGAGTGATGGGACCATAAGGAGGAGAATGTCGGCGTCTTTGCAGCAACACGCGGGTCTTGCTCAGGCTCCCAGCATCAAACGTAGGCTATTCAACGCACAGTTGATTACGTTTATATTTAGAGCCCATGCGGACTTGCCTTCCTTACGTGCTCTTTATTCCAGTCAACGTTCGTCAATCCTCGCACGCTCCCAAGGCAAAATAATCGTCAATATACATATTACACAGAAGGACACCATTGTAAAATTGCAAAACATATAAGCATACACACGATAGCTTAAGGCCATAATCGATGAATATGAATGCGTACATTAAAATCCGTTAAATAGAAATGCATACATATGTGATATATAATGTTCCAATGCATGTTATTAATATGATATACATTACGACCCTGGCATGTTTCCTTTCGGTCTCATCGATTGTTAAGTTAAATTTTATGGAAATTCTTAACTGATATTGAGAGCAGTTGAGATATTTTGTATCTTTTAAGCAGGTGACGGAATGTTTTTGAATGTCAAATACCTATCTGGTCAAAATCGCATACAAATACGGATCGAGTACAGGAAAATTCCCTCGGCTTATCCAAATATTAAGTCAAGCATTTGAGCACTCAGAAGTGGAATGCTCTGTGCGAGTTTGATGAGCGTTGAGGTCATGTTAGGTCACACGCAGGCTGTGTGACCCGCGCGGCGCTGGTGAGTTAGTCAATGCGAAACAAAGCTCGCTCGGTCAAACAATGCGACTCATCGTTTTGTTTCCAACTTGACGTGTTGAAATCAGTGCCAAGTTATATGGGTTATATGCAATTTTATGGTGATTTGAAGCTGTTGTGGCAGTGAAAATAAGCGTTGCCACCGTCTTGTGACTTTGATCCCACAGCATACATCGGGGTGCGAATTGCTTGTCTTCATTTTTCAGAGTCCTTTCACTTCCATTAAGTTTTGTTAAAATAGGAAGTGGTTGGGTTCCAACGCGGATGATTCGGTCGATATGACGTGATCTGATTTTCGTTAGAGCCATCTTTACTAGTGCATAAAGAGTTGCATTGCGTTGCATAGCGGCCTCTTGAGCTGTTGCATGACCTGTCGCAAGGCCCCACTACATTCCGTCCCCCTTTCTCATACGCATGCATGCAGATGCATGCAAATGCATCACATGTCTGCATGCAAACATGCGGACATGCACTGCTTTGCATTAAACATGATCTGTAAGATGAGATACAGCGTTACCTTACCATTACAGCAGGACTTGAGCCAGCATGAAATTGTCAGGGTGACTATCCACTTATTTTTTTTTCTGGGAGTGCACCGGGTTTCCTTTTTACATCAATTTCCTTTCATCCTGCAGGCACGGTTTGGGGTGGTTTGGGCCACACATGAGCGCGTCGGAGCAATCGCACGGAGAGACTAGTCTCTCAAAGAAATATGTTATGTTCCCCCACCCAAGGTGCCATGCGCAAGACAAAAGACACATGAGACACGATGCGTCCAATGCGCCTCAAAGGGCAGTGCTGTTGGACAAACCCTCGTCCATACAGCTCGCCGTAAGTGCGGCAAAACACGCGGTCGGTCGGTTGACAGGCTCCGCACGTCATTCGCAGAACCGCAGTAGTGCGCTGTGTGCAAACGAGCACGCTTGTTTAGTTAGACGGCACACGCGCGGGGTTTTCGACCAGCTTCACCTCAGTGTAAGCGCGTAGGTTCTTGGTGCATTAGCTGTGCATTGATGTGCTGATGTGCGGGGGAGTATGGAGCAGATTCAAAGGCTGCCGCTGCTGCTGTCACAGATTGCGCGGCTCGGCAGCTGCTGACGTCACAGCTGGCGTGACGCCGCGGCTGATGACGTCATAGCTGTCGCGATCCTGCTGAACGGCCTGGATTTATTCTCGTCGCTTGGGCAGCGGGAATGAAAAATGTCGTTCTTGTATTTGCTCTCGCCTAGCACCATAATTACCTATAAATGAAAAATACCCGGGTTCAAATTCGCTTCTGGAGCACCTTTTTACCTCGCGGGAATTTTCTTTGATTGCTTATAGAGAGCGTCGAACTGCAGCAGAGGACCACCTATTGCTCCCTAGTTCTGTGTGTCTGCTGGAGGTTTCTTGAGACACGACAGGCAGCGCGGGGCCCAGCTGCATTGCCCTCCATCCGCCGCCGGAGTTTGGCCAGGTGCACCGGGAGTGACGCAGCGCCCGAGGACATGTCCCGGAAGTCAGAAGTTTCCGGGAACTTGCGACAGTCGCCAGCGACGCTCCTGGGGGGAGGGTGAACGATGGCTTGGTGGCTCCGGAACAAGGCGGGACGGGTCGAGCCGCGCGGCTGCGGGACCGCTGCCGGCCGCGCCGCCTAACAGCCGCCCTGACCTTTCTCCAAAGGTCGTCGGGCGGCGGGGCTGCCTGTCGAGTCCCGAGGGGGGCCGTCGATACCGGAGCAGGACGGCAGGCACCCCCCGCCGTTGGCCGGCATCAGCGGCTGCGTCGCGGCCACAGCAACTAGTTGGCGGCCACAGCAGCTGGGTGGTGGCCACAGCGGCTGGGTGGCGACCACGGCAGCCAGTTGGCGGCTACAGCGACTGGGTGGCGCCTACAGCGGCCGAGTGACAGCCCCAGCAGCCGGGTGGCGGCCACAACGGCTGGAGTGGCGGCCACAACGGCCGAGTGGCGGCCACAACGGCCGGGTGGCGGCCACACCGGCCGGGTGGCGGCCACAACGGCTGGGTGCCGGCCATAACGGCTGGGTGGCGGCCATAGCGGCCGGGTGGCGGCCGCACCGGCTGGATGGCGGCCACAACTGCGGGGTGGCGGCCACAACGGCTGGGTGCCGGCCACAACGGCCGGGTGGCGGCCGTAACGGCCGGGTGACGGCCACAACGGCCGGGTGACGGCCACAACGGCTGGGTGCCGGCCACAACGGCCGAGTGGCGGCCACAACGGCTGGGTGCCGGCCACAACGGCCGGGTGGCGGCCGTAACGGCCGGGTGGCAGCCATAGCGGCCGGGTGGCGGCCTCAGAGCTGCGCGTCTGACGTTAGGCCGACGGAGCGCTACCTATAGCAAGCTTCCGTCCTAGTAGCACTAGTTCACACAGTAGCACACACCTAGTAGCACACACACACACCTATTCACAACAGTCATGCTCACTTTCACCGAGCCCATCTGTCAGCAGTGAGGCTTAAAGCAAACTTGTTACATCCGTGCTTGGTTTCATAAGGTTCATGTTCGCTGCTGAATAAAATTCCCTCACAAGCCACACTGCATTCTCCCTTTGTCCTTGTGCATGCCATCGCCGCGTCCAGGTGTTGTCATCGCTCGTCCAGTCCGAAGTCCGGTCATGGTCAGTCAACGGGACGGATGATGGGGGATTAGCCGTCTAATGGAAACGGCTCACTGCCGTCCGAGACGATTGACTGGGGCTATATCGGTACCGGCTCAGGCATCGCCGTCGATGCCGGCTGTAGACATTAGCACAGCGCGCACACATCGGACCATCCGCCTCCAGCCGAAGAGGCGTGGGTCATATGAGTTGTGAATCATACATGACTCATGTTAGGTCAGAACATGCATATGCTGTGAGCTACCGTGAGCGCTACAGTGATATTATATATATATATATATATATATATATATATATATATATATATATATATATATATATATATATGTGTGTGTGTGTGTGTGTGTGTGTGTGTGTGTGTGTGTGTGTGTGTGTGTGTGTGTGTGTGTGTGTGTGTGTGTGTGTGTGTGTGTATGTATGTGTGAGTGTGTGTGTGTGTGTGTGTGTGTGTGTGTGTGCGTCATTGGGCGTTTACGACGCACTCAGCTGCTGAGGCTATACGGCGCCGCCTACCTCACTCTGGCGGGGAGGGCAGACACCACGAGGAATCGAACCCCATACCTCTGGTTTCCCAGAAGCGCAGCTAATTCATTTCGCCATCGTTACCCTGACCATAACTGTGAGGCGATGAGTTAAAAGTGATTGTCGGCGTCGAAGTCGAGAGTCTCCAAACGTTTGTAAAGTTACTGGTGGCAGACTGATGTGTTTGCTTCATTGTTCCAGATCTGGGAGCCGTGCCGCCTTGTCATGAGTCACATGCGACGGGGCAATGACCCACCGTTTTGAGTTGTTGGTAAATGAGTTATTTAGCCCTTTCTTGAGGCCTGCGTCGAAGAAACACGCTCTGTTCTTCTTTTCAGGTGATCAGCTGCAACAAGAACATCTGCACGCTGCAGATCACAGACACCACCGGAAGTCACCAGTTTCCGGCCATGCAGCGGCTCTCTATTTCCAAGGGCCATGCCTTTGTGCTAGTCTACTCGATCACATCTCGACAGAGCCTGGAGGAGCTCCGGTAAGGCTGGCTGAGGGGGAGGTAGAGCGGGGGTGGGAGAATCGACGAAGGCAGTGTCGGGGTTTTCTGGGAGACATCAGATTGGCCCGAAATGGAGGGAGAGCATGGTGGGCAGGGACAGTAGTAAGTATGGGTTGGAGATAGAGAGAGAGAGAGAGAGAGAGAGAGAGAGAGAGAGAGAGAGAGAGAGGAGAGAGAGAGAGAGAGAGAGATAGAGAAGAGAGAGAGAGAGAAAGAGGATAGAGAGGAGCGAGAGAGAGAGGAGAGAGAGAGAGAGAAGTGAGAGAGAGAGAGAGAGATGAGATAGAGAGAGAGGAGGAGAGAGAGCGAAAGAATAGGAGGGATAAGCGGCATGAGAGAAGAGAATAGAGACGAGACCGAGGTGAGAGAGACGCTATGGTGTCTTAGCGCGTCGGAAGACAAGGGTGACGAGAGGAGAAGAGGGGCGGAGAACGAGGTGGCAATAATGTCGGGTGCGCGAGCGGAAACATCTGCACTATGTCGGTGCGCACTTAACTCCTGCTTAGCATCAGAGGTCTGTGAAGACGGGGTCTTCCGAGTCACATTTACAGCACACGATAATGCGCGGCCTCTGACGCGCGGGGGGAAGCCCCGCCCGCAGCTCTAATTGACCAAGATGACAGCTCCCGGATGCCGTCTTGGTCCATTGGAAACTTTCTATTGCAGTGTTGAAGGTAATGCACCAAGGTCAGGAATGGACCGAGTGGTCACTAACCAGTGTTTTGTAGTACGACGCATCGACAATCGATCGGGGCGCAATCTGCCTGTGACTTGGTCCAATACCTGGCTTGATGCCGTGCGCTGTGCTCTAAGACGGTAATAAAAACATCGCCATTCTATTTTATGTACGGTATGATACTTGCATCAGTTTTTCACCCTGCAGTTAGCGGCCGCACGAAGGGACCAGGACAGAACCATCGTGCGTGTTTAGTCAAGAAGGCCGAAAATATGTTTATTGGGTTTGCAATCACCATTACCCCAGTCCTGAAATACAGGAGTGAGCGCAGCTGAAAGACAGATGAACACAAACTTCAGTCAAGCTTCGTCCTTAGATGGAGAGGATTAGGTTGCCGGGAAGGGGGAGACGGACGAGGAGGGAGAAGGAGGGAGAGAGAGGGGGTGGGAGAGTAGGAATAGTAGGAATAGGAAGTAGGAATATGAATGTAGGAATGAGATATAGTTAATAGTAGGAATGAGAGTAGGAATAAACACGGAGAGAGATTGGAAAACAGAGATGGATAGGAGGAAAAGGACAGGAAAGAGATAATTATGGTGTGTAGAAAGAGCTGGCGGGAAAAGGTGTGTCCATTCAGTGACAGTATGAAGTCAACGACACATTTGACAGCTTGACAGATTTCAGGTTGATTTGGTTTTGTTCACGTCGATGTTTTGCGGCCTCAAGCCCTGCACCTATCCTTCTATTCCACAGTATTTTCCGGTTTGTTTCACGCTCCTCTGTGAAAGGACAGGCGGTGTGTGTCGTTGGGTATGATGTATCAGTACGGGTGTTAAGTGATGCGCAGCGTGTTCACTGGTCAAGTATCCTAGAAGCGTATTGTTGACGCCGTCCTGATTTTTCCAGGCCCATATTTGAGGTGATTAGGGAGGTAAAAGGCAACCAGGAAGAGGAAATTCCCGTCATGCTTGTAGGCAACAAGTGCGATGAAAATGAAAACAGGGAGGTACCTCACGCTGAGGGAGAGGATCAGGTGAGATATAATGTGTTTATGGTACCTGCATGACTTAACATCTATGGGGAAACAAGTGGTGCGATCATCATCTTGAGACATTTTAGTTCCTTCGCCTGGTTTTGGGAGAGCAGAGCAGGTGAGGACAGCACGCAGGTGGGGCCAGCAGACAGGTGAGCACAGCAGACGCGCACATGACCGGAAGGCTGCTCATGCTGAATTTTGATCACTATGTAGCAAAAACATGTCGGCTTTAGACTGAGCGATAAGCTGGGTGCCAGCTTTGTGGTACCGGGCATTTTAGGGAGAGGGACTCTCTGTGATGTCTGACTGTTGCACCCCCTGTGCTGTTTGTCGGGGACGTCTCGGCGCGGTACCTGCTGATCAACTTTGGGACGTTCCATGAAGCGGGTCGTTTTCACTATTAGAGACGTAATCATCCCATTATCGTCACGTGGGCCATAAAATGTAAAGCTTCAATACGCCGTCCTTAATCAAGGTGCACGCATTTTATCCACAGAGGAAATCGCAACCAGCGGTTTTTGTCGTTGCTACGTCGTCAATTATTGTCTGTTTTGTATTGTATGACTGTCCGCAGGCGTCCCATACTGATAGCATTGATAAAGGCTCTTCAAAGCATCAAAACCCTATGCTGGTACTTAACTGTTCATCTGTGTTTCTGTCCTCAGTCTAAAAAGTGGCGGTGCAGCTTCCTGGAAACCTCAGCAAAGAACAACACCAACGTGAAGGAGCTATTCCAAGAGCTTCTCAATATGGACAAAACACGTACAATGACACTGCAATTGGACAGTAAGAAAAACAAATCCCAGAAGGGCACGCGTAAAATCAAGGAGAAGTGTGAGCTGATGTAGGGATCCCTGCTGGCTCGGTGCCATGAAAAAGTCCACGGCCACAGCTGCCGCCGCTGGTACAAAGACTGTTCGGCGGCGGCGCTGACAGTCGCGAGTTGTCCTGACCGGATCCGACCCGGATCTGCCGGTGCTCCTGACCGGATCCGACCCAGATCTGCCGGTGCTCCTGACCGGATCCGACCCGGATCTGCCGGTGCTCCTGACCGGATCCGACCCGGGCCTGCCGGTGCTCCTGGCCAGATCCGACTCGGGCCTGCCGGTGCTCCTGGCCGGATCCGACCCGGGCCTGCCGGTGCTCCTGGCCGGATCCGACCCGGGCCTGACGATGCTCCTGACCGGATCCGACCCGGGCCTGCCGGTGCTCATGACCGGGATCCGACCCGGATCTGCCGGTGCTCGTGGCCGGATCCGACCCGGATCTGCCGGTGCTCGTGGCTGGATCCGACCCGGATCTACCGGTGCTCGTGGCTGGATCCGACCCGAGCCTGACGGTGCTCCTGACCGGATCCGACCCGGGTCTGCCGGTGCTCCTGGCCGATATCATAGGAGGACTCTCCCGGTGCTCCTTGCCGATGTCATAGCAGGACGTTCGCCTCAGTCTGAAGCCGGCGGCGCCCCGATTCTGGTCGAGCTCGCGCCGAGACCCGGTTCTGCTCGCGCTGCGGCCTGGGCGGGTCGTGTGCAGCGCCGGACAGCCTCGATACACAGCAGTCGGCGGCTCGCGAGGCGGTGGCGAGTCGCGACTCGCCTCTCGCGAGATGCGGTTGGCTCCTGCGAGCAGCCGGGCAGGTGCTGTGTCGGTCTGGTGTCGTGACCGCGACACCCGGTCCGCGGCGTCCCCTCGCCGCTGCTGGCGGGAGAGCGTCGCTGGACTTCATTCGAGCCGTCGCATCGATGCAGCTGCACCAGAGCCCCTGGTGGCTCCATGCCAACGAATACAAATGTGACGAACGAAACAACGACCCGGCGTCAGCTGAGCAAGGACGAAATCAACATGATGTGTAGAGTACCACGTCAACGAGCACGAGAGCTGCCGTATCTGGGCTGCCCGTAACAACTGTCAAATTGGAAGTGAGGAAGAGACTGGTGTAAGCCTTCTTTGCCACTCGCGCCTGCTACACGTTGCGGTTCTCTGCGTCCATCTTTTGCGGATGTGTTTTGCAGGAAGTCAACCTCTAGCCTCTAGCGCGTCGAGCACTGATGCAGGGGTCAAAACAGCGAGCTTTCTTCGCAACATTTGGAAGCATGTGTCTGGTACACTGTCATGTACTAGCTGCAGTTGTTCAACCGTGCACTTAAAGGCAATGCCACATCATGCATGTCGGATTTTATTCCTAATGCAGAGTTGTGCTTTGTCGGCGTTACACACGTGATACCGGAACCAGACGTAGAACAATCGTTCTGAGAATCCGATAGATAGGGCATTTCCAGTCGAGGATCGTTATCCAGCACAGCGCTCATGCGCTGCCTCCCTGCTTTGCGTCCCGTGACAACTTGACCCTTCTGTACCAACGAGCGTGAAGGCTCCTCCACCGGCTACTAACGATGTTGTTCAGTTCTCATGCAGCTTTTGTTATCGCTACAGCACGGCTCTCATCGGTTACCTTCTACTTCTCTTCCCCTCGGTCTTCCAGGATCGGTAGATCGGTAGGCCGGTAGATCGGTAGACCGGTAGATCGGTAGCTATTTGTGCACTCGTCAGGGGCTGGGGTCTTCACATGGCAATGCTTCTCGTCACTGACTCCACCACATCGTGATGGCACGCCTGGTGAACGCAAACGCGTGTAGTTCTCCACGTAGATGTCCGTTGATTTCTTCACTCAAAGTTCTCCATCTCTAGATGCACACATGGGTTTGTGAATGGCAGGCTAACCACACTCACGAGGTGTACTCAAATGCGTTGTAAGACATGTTCGGCAAGGGTGAGTTTTGCGTGCTAGACTAGACGGCACTCTGAGGCTGATGCTGACAAGCGTGTTATTTTTAAGCTGCATTTCGTATAAGTTCTGTCGATCTGTAGAGGGTTTTCATCTTGCCCATTTATGAGGGGAATGATGACACTATTTTAGCTACTGGCGTATTCCGTGGTCCTGCTGTCTCACTAGCGTTACACTAGAGTGTGACTGTCGCCCATGGTGCCGACGTTGCGTGGTCTGTCTGGCAGCATACCTATGAAGAGTGAGCCCAATCGTTCATGCTGCGCCTTGTTCAGAGTTTCAGCGTATATTCTATGTGCACGTGTGTACCGGCGGCGGGCGACACCTCGCGGGCAGGGGGCCAGCGTGTTAACTTTCGACCATTGCGCGGTTGGTTCTTCTAGCACTGTTACATATACCACCCGCAGAGCTCCCCATCTTCTGACACTTCTTAGCAGTAGCAGCTTGAACTGCAGCTGGCTACCTGGTGGTCATGGCATGGATAGGAGTTACTTGCAGTGGTGGCAGGCCCCTCTGAAGTGACGTCTTTGCTTTGGTAGATATGGAGTTCAAAAAAATATGGCAAGCGTTCTTCAAAACGCCTAAGCACCTGACATTTCTGGACAACCCATATGCACATGGTGCATGGGTTATTCACTAAGCGCCTACGCACGTGCGTGTAGCCTGACGCCCTGCAGCACGCAGTGATGCCTCTCTCCGTTCCGATCGCCAACAAATTCCGCAGGTAATTATTTTTGTGAATGAATCTTTCAAGGACTCCACTGATGCTTCGGACCATTGTCCAATGGTGTGTTTGACCGAGTCGGCTATATTTCGCTGGCCCAGTCACTACTCCTAATACTGACGATGCACCGTGAGGAAAGATCGGTTTGCGCGTTTGCCCGTCTGAACGCAGACGGCGCCTCGTTTATTTTGATCTTCGAGCTGTGATGTTGGAAGTTGTGCAGTGTTTTCTGTTGCACCCTCGTAAGTGGTGGTCGTACCTTGTCAACTGTCCATACGTAGTCACATATCACTGAATAGTTTTCCTGTTGTTGACCCGTCATCGAATAATGTCCAAGCGCTGTGTGTGGGCAGCACCCACAATTCATTCTCGAATTACTAGGTGCATAGGTTGTTAAATTCACGCCATTACGACCGCGTCGGCTGGTGGAAGACTCGCTGGGCAATAAACCGATAACAAGGAATGTCTTTTGTGTGCAGAGCCTGCCGTTTAATTACGCGAAGCCACACGTCTTACAGCTGCTTGCCCTTGATCACTGCAACAGGTTAGGTCTCTAAGAAGGAGACGGGAACGGCAGAAAAAGAGTTTTCCAGTCCTCCTGACATTCCTTCGAGTGGCTTTGTTACTTTAGTACCTGGTTTTGGCTCGTGGTTTCTATTGCTTCGGTAGTCTGCATTTTTATTGAAATGCTTCAAGTGAACGTAGCTGGCTTTTGTCACTTGAGATCAAACATCATTAGGTGATGCGTTCGGTTGGGCATCTTTTGAAACTGCCATCGTTCATAACGTCAGCTGAAATTAAATCATTGGCAGAATGCGCGCAATGCGTGGCTCTGCGATAAGCTATACGTTGGAAAGATAAAACGCATGACGATGATCAGCATAATGATTAACAGGACACATCTGTAAGTCGACTTCATCTTCAATTTTCAACCACTTCATGCTAAATGTCAATGAAAACGATTGACTGATTTCTGCCGACCTAACGTCTGTCCGTCTTCTACCTGACCGTCCGCAGTCCGCCTGCGGTAGAATCTGCTGTAGACGACTTACAAGACTCTAGCTAAACTGCTTAAATACCCCCCCCCCCCCCCATCGAAGCGCGTTGGTAGCTTTACCGCTACGCGGCAGATCTTCCTTCCCAAACCTTTGGGTTTTCAAGTTAAAGGTATGCTTTTTGGGGAGCAGTCGATCGAGTATTATTGTGCTGATTTTGATGAGCGCGGCATGACAAGGGAGATCGTTCAATTTTCGTTCGCCCATACGTTCGCCGTTTTCTTTTTTCCAAATGAGTGAAACTCCTACAGCGTAACAGGTTAATGCTTCCTGCACGCTTTGCATTCGACTTTCAAGACGCGCCGCTCGCTCAGTGGCGCAGTCGGTGCCGCGCTGGGCCAAAAACTGGGTGGTTCGACCCTGGACCGCCCCAGAAGTTTTCTATCGGTTGCCTATGGAGCAGCAGGTGGGACAAAAAGTTGAACCAAAACTTTGAATAGATCTGTTGACAAATAAAATGATAAAAAGTCGCCAGGGATGAGAGCTGACAGTGATAAAAGGCAAACTAAAGCAAGTTTGTGCCAAAAAGTCCAAGGATAACAGTTCACAGAAATAAGAATCGAGCAGAAAAGGTGATAAATGAAAAGGAAAGGGAATAATATTGACAGCGATAAAATTTGAATCAGGAAGAGGTCGAAGTACGAAAGCCAAGAATGAGAGCCGATGGGCGTAGAATTTGGGCTAGAAAAATTCAACGGACAAAAAGCCGACATAAATAACAGCCAAATGGAAAACGCCAAGAGACGAAAAGTTCACAAGGGCGGTGGATAAAAGGTTGTCTGTCAATGTGCGGAGCTTGATTTAGAGACAGAAGCATAACTGTTTACCTTAAAAACATCAGCGTGTTACCAGCAATGTATTCTGAAACAAGTTCCAAATTGAGTGACCTATACGCCCCTAGATTAGAAGAACAGTCAAATGCAAGCGTGAAGGAACAAAGAAACGCGCAGAATAAACAGATAGATATTGCACAGTACCAGAAAAGGGTAATCATCGGCATGGCTCTTTCGTCACATTTCTCTGCTGCGAACAGATATCTATTTGGCTTTTAAAATCCATCAACAACCATGATAGAGAACAGGATTGTGCTGAAAACACCAGCAAGAACCAGCATCCAGCTTCACACGCACACACTGTATATATATATATACAGATATGTAGATATATATGCATATGGCAAGAATTAAAAGCAAGAACCCAAATCCGTATCTGAATTATGCTGAGGATCAAGCCAGCACCAAGATCTAGTGTAAAGCATGTATTTGTATTTGACATTAAATGACACTCTACATGCATATGTGGCTTTTGCGTGTCATTAGTCTGAGAGTTGAAACAGTATGTCAAAAAACCAACGGAAAACGATAAGGGATAAAAAACACATAAACGTATGCACGCATAAACAGAATGAGGATGTCATATCGTACAAAAAAGACCTGGCTGCGCGTTTAAAACATGTTTTACAGCTGTGCCTTGCTGACCGTCAATAACAAGTGGGCGTTCACGCAATGCACTCATCTCATGCACGTTGCATAAGTAAATATTACGGGCAAGATGCAAAGTATCTTTTATCCTAGGCAATTCGCATTCATTGGTAGATAATTGGTCTGGTGTTATGAAAAGTCAATGGGACCCGAGAACCAGGTTCCGGTGTTTGGGAAGGAAAGAGTTTGAATCATGAGTCCATATCGCTATTTACTTATGAGCCAGTGAGAACCAGAAGGTACTGCTGAGCGGGCACAAAAAAAAACTGGATTCCGGAGCATGGATGGTAAGACAACTTGCGTTTAACCACGCACCCTGAGGTATCAAGTGTCCTCGAGTGAAACTGACAATAAAGCAGAGCGACGCCGATGTAGCGTAGCGCTGTGGTGGCGTTGCATTCCCCTTCATCACCCTCTGGAATGCCAATGCATAGTACTGGGCTTTTGCGTTTAAGCAGACATTTCGCAAAAGGCTCACTGAGCACAGCCCCAAGCTTCAGGCCCCGGCCTGAAACGGATCAGAAACTACCGACCCAAAACCGTAGGATCTTTTCCTAGCGCGCTCAACGCCGACGCACTGTGGCGCCGACCGGCCGTTGGTGGCTTAGACCGCTGGTGGCTTAGACCTCTGGTGGCTTAGACCGCTGGTGGCTTAGACCGCTGGTAGTCTAGACCTCTGGGGGCTTAGACCGCTGGTGGCTTAGACCGCTGGTGGCTTAGACCGCTGGTAGTCTAGACCTCTGGGGGCTTAGACCGCTGGTGGCTTAGACCGCTGGTGGCTTAGACTGCTGGTGGTTTAGACCCCAGGGGGCTTAGACTGCTGGTGGCTTGGACCACTGGTAGCTTAGTAACGTCTCATCTGCGGGCGTGTTTCAGCGCCATGAAACCTTGCGATGCTGATGTCTCCCAAGCCAGACCACGTTCAAAGGTTTCAATGACCAAGCTGTGATCTTTGTCGCAGATCTACCACATGATGACGAAAACGAAAAATCGGTCACTGCTTTATTGTGGATGCTCTACGAGCATGGCGGCGCGGTAATAAGAGCTCCCATCTGCTCTCATTCCCAGCTGCATTTCAGCGCGCAAGCTCTTCGTTTTCACTCCAGGTATTGCCTGTGGGATTCCTGGAATCGCGCCTCGCTTCTGATGGTATCGCGCTGCACATAGTTGTAGCTATTTAGGAAGGATTTGGCTTTACTTCTCCGAAATAGACGTGGTATATATGCAAGCACAAGTTTATTAAGACGTATCTGAAGCTTGCATGTCGGAGCTTGCTCTGATTCAGGGGTTTTCCGTCATCCCGGGATTTGGCGTGTAACGCTCATGTTATCCCCGAATCGTCCAAAAGTACCGGGATGGAAAGAACAGTAATGCTAGAACAGGACAGGGATGCCAATAATCGGGTGTATTAATTTCGCAGGCAGTTTACTTACCTCATTGGTAATTTTGCTTAACTCTATTGGTCAACTTACGTAACCTTATTGGTCAGCTTACTTACTATTGGTCAAGTTATTTAACTCACTTGGTCAACTTACTGGACTCTAAAGGTCAGTAGCATCAAAGTATATGAATCTACCAAGAGAATAGAGAACAGCGAGCTTCAGGGGTGGAGTAACGAAATAGGACAAAGTTGGATACAGTTATCATCGCAGTTTCTGCAGGGAGCCAGGAGCGGAACCCGTGATCAGCACTAAGGGGAGTGTGGTGTCCACCACCCGCGAGTTGAAATGAGAGGCGCTGTCTGGCCGCTGTTAGTGGTCATCACGGTGGTCAACCGCAGTCATCCGACGTGTGAATTCATCATTACGTACAGGCTCAATAATCCATGTCATTTGTGGGGGATATGTGACTATGACCTGAGATGCATCAGCTAATACTCAGCTCTGTGCTGTTACACGCTAAAACGGTGCGGTCTGTAAGCTACACACTCTCTAAAAGCACACCTGAACGCGTTATCGCACACTGATACCTTCCACGTGTCAAATTCCCAGCCACGGTAAGGCGCGATATCTTTACAGTCGTCAGCGGGCAGGTTCACCCAGTCTGTCGTATGTCCCCTGCCACCCAACTTGCGTCACCTGGACTTGCCTGAAGGAGCTCCTTCCACCAATGTCTTCATTTCTCCATCGTATGTTCCTCGCTCGCCTGCTGTGGGCCGCGGCGGCGTGCGCGGTCGGCGCGGCCGGCACGTTTGACCCGTACGTGGCCGGCCGGCACAACGTCAGTCACACGTGGGTGGACCCGCTGCTAAGGCCCGACTTGCCGATGTCACTCAGCGTGTCAGCACCAACATCAGAGCAGATCTTCCCGGTCGTCGTCTTCATCTCTGGTCTAGAAGGTTGGTGAAACCCTGGTAGAAATGCGGTCGCCAGTCTTCCGTGGCGATCATGTTTGTCAGTAAACAACGAGCGTAGCCAGTTGTTTTTAGGTGCAAAGCTCGATTAAATCACGAACTTAGCCAGTACTGTTCGTAATGGCAGGAGTGTAAGACGGTAATAATAGCCTTATTCTCTGCAGAAAAACCAACAGAATGGAGAAATAGAATGAGCCAATCTATTTTTCCATTCTCCTGTTTTTTTTTTCCGAGGAATAAGGCTGTTACTACTGTCTTATCTATGTGAATAATGTTCCTCGCGAATGCACTGAACAACTTACGTAAGGAAGGATTGTCCTCCAGCGCCGTAATCCACCGTTCTTCCCTCAAAAACCCCATCCGCGGTGTGCTGCTTATGGGTGGCTTACCGACCCCAGCCTTGCCGCTAGCTCATGACCCCAGTGACCAGTGTGCCGGCCCGACTGGTCGCTGGTCACGACCGACACACACACCCGACCCCGCCGCCAGGCATGACACCAGCGGCGGCGCAGAGCCGCCTGTTGCAGCGCATAGCCTCCCACGGTCTGGTCGTGGTCACCGCCTGGTCCCTCACGGAGAGCGGTGGCCCAGCTCAGCGCGCCGTCAAGCTGGAGCAGGTCATGGACTGGATGCACAGCCGCCTGCCAGACTACCTACACCATCATCACTTCCCTGGCTTAAAGGTCGACTTCAATGTGAGTACGTGGGACGGGGACTGAGTACCAGCAGACCGCAGGAGTGCTGTTAATGGCGCTGGACTTATGTTTTACTTTGTGGTTCAGGGAATTATTCTATTGAATCTTAAGGCACAGGAGGCGTTTCATGTGGACGTCAATGGTAATTTCCAAAGGAGACTGCAGCACTCGGATATGATAGCTGTTTCCAGCGCTGCCATACTGCTTTTTTTTACAAAACCCGCCGACAGTGAAGGGAAGTCCGGTTCCATGACAGCCACCGTCGGGGTGGCCTGGGCACGTGTCACTGACTGCACTGGAGCAATTCCTACAAGTCCAGACGCGCTGAGAGTCTGTTTGGCTTCAGCGCACCACGATGCTGGCCCACTCGGCCGGTGCCCACGTCGTCGTCAGCTACCTGGAGCGGCAGTGCGACGCGGACACCAACGTCAAGGGCCTGGCGCTCATGAGCCCTGTGGACGGGGTCGACCCGTTCGGCTTCATCAAGGAATACTGCATCACGCCTGGTCAGAAGGTCAACTTTACCTTACCCACGCTGGTGCTGACAGCCGGGCTCGACACTGAACATGGTGAGAGCTGTCTTACCCACGCTGGTGCTGACAGCCGGGCTGGACACTGAACATGGTGAGAGCTGTTTCGCATGCGAACATCCAGGCGGTAATGATCGGAACAGCAGTCACAGTCCCGCAGTGGACAGCAGTCACAGTTCCGCAGTGGACAGCAGTCACAGTCCCGCGGTGGACAGCAGTCACAGTCCCGCAGTGGACAGCAGTCACAGTCCCGCGGTCGACAGCAGTCACAGTCCCGCAGTGGACAGTAGTCACAGTCCCGCGGTGGACTTGGAAGGGTGGGTGTGATCCGATCCCACCCGTGCGTTCCCAGGCTGAGAGGTGGCCGCCGTGAACCGGGTGACATATCAAACACGGACGGCACGAAGAGGGAAAGACTGGTTGACTGCTTCGGTGTTCTGAGAAAATCTGTAGCTTAAATTCCTGGTCGCGCGTCTTAGATAATAACGTTTTCTTCGTTGGTTTTTCGTCGCAGTTTGGGTACAAAAGCAATAGATCATAGAAAATATCCACGACGTTGAGCGCGAGAATTACTCTGCACGCCCACTTGCTGTCCTGATGCTGCGGCTTAAAAAGAAAATTAAGCACAAAGCAACAGGAGTGTCATCTTCCAAAATTTGTTTAAGGATCCCAAAGTAGTGTTAGCGTTTTTAGATCGATTTCAGAATAAACTGCCACACTCCCAACTACAAAAATATAGCTTACTGGGGGTTCCAAAAGGCATGACAGTTTCCCCCACAGTTCCTTCAACCCGCAAGTATCACCAGGACCTCGCTTTGAAACATGTATACAGCTTATAAGTATGCTCTCAATTCATTCAGGGCAATTATAAAGCTTTTGCTTGCATGCCGAACAAATCGCTGCAGTATCTGGTCTTCCAGCAGTTTTTCTTTTTTCAGGGTTTCCCATGTTTCCACCCTGTGCTCCGACCAAGTTAAGCAACGGCCGTTTTTACGACGCGTTCAGCTCACCCCGCTGGCAGATCAACGCCACTCAGTTTGGCCATGTAGACTTCTTCCAGGACGCCTTCTGGATGATCGTCAAGGTAAGCATTCAGAGGACAGAATTGGTGGATCCTATCGAATATTTTGATATTTGTATTGAGCTGGGGTGGAACGCTGACCAACTTGTTTGACGGATATGTATGGGGCGCCCATATACATGGAAGGCTGGTGCCTGGCGGCCAAAACTGAACCGTTCCAAAAAGTTTTTACGTGTTTTGCAACCGGCCGCTCAGCAATGTCCACCGATTAACGTCCAGACCATGCAGCCAATAGAGAAAACGCGTTCAATATTTTCCACACCGGATCCATTCTGCCAAGTACCTGATCTTCTAAGGTCCGGAAGCATTTGAGATTTCACAGATCACATGTGTCTGCCCAGGATACGAAGTTCTGCGCCGTTTGCGCGGCCGACGACTGCGACGACAGACCTCTGTACCAAGACTACATGGCGGGGCAGATCGTCTCCTTTGCATTGGGTGAGCACGGGGGGGCCAGCCGTGCATAGCATTCCTACAAACATCTGCATTGCATGACGGGCAGCGAGAGGCGGTAAGATGAAGGTGTGAACCAAGGCGAAGCAAGGTTTATGAAGCTCCGTCGTAGCATGCTTTGATTGATTGCCAAGAGCTGGGGCTACTTTACAATGATCATCGGATGTAGTCCTGATCTCATGCGTTGGGGTGATCAGTTTATGAAGCTCCGTCGTAGCATGCTTTGCTTGCTTCCCATGAGCTGCCCCAGCCCATGTACAATGTTCATATTGATACTTACATACTTACATCAATGATACTTACAATGTTCATCGGATCTAGCCCTGATCTCATGCGAGGGGGTGAGCAGTTTTGTCGACTTTGATTGCACTCAGTTGTGTGTTTTGAACCCATGAGCAGGATGGAATTCGTCTAGTGTCTAATTCGCTTTCCGTCTAAATCTCATAGACTTTGCTTCCTCCGTGGAGTGGGACTTTGGGTGCTGTAAGTAACGCTTTCGACAACACGCTCATCTCGTTCAACGCCAGCATGAAATACACCGCAGACTATTTCCCCTTGGAGCATGCCTTTTGATACGATACCAGTGGCATACGACTCTAGTCGAGTGCTGCATACGATTTCCTCACTCGTGGCTGCGCGCATTTCAGCCACCACCGACCCTGACAGCTACTGCGACCAGCTCATGTACCTGGAGGATTTCTCACTGCACCCGGTCGCCACGGTGGGCAGGAACGACCGGGCTGCGGACGTTTGCAGAGGATTCCTGGCCGGTTGCGCGCGCCCCTAGCGCGCCATTATTCGCTCCAGTGCGTCCGTAGTGCACTCCTTTGAGGGTCACTAGAGCGCCCATAACGCACCCTTAGCACACCTCGCATTTCCATAAGAATGTCCCAAGTATGTCCCAAGAAGCGTTACTCGCGCCTCAGGTGTACCGCAGTGTGCCTCCAGCGCGCCCCAGATGTACCGCAGGGTGCCTCCAGCGCGCCCCAGATGTACCGCAGTGTGCCTCCAGCGCGCCCCAGATGTACCGCAGGGTGCCTCCAGCGCGCCCCAGGTGTACCGCAGTGTGCCTCCAGCGCGCCCCAGATGTACCGCAGTGTGCCTCCAGCGCGCCCCAGGCGCACCGCAGTGTGCCTCCATCGCGCCCCAGATGTACCGCAGTGTGCTTCCAGCACGCCCTCAGCGTTTCCACCTAGTGCCCACTTGCACCACTAATCGGCCCCTTCTGAGCTGCTGGCATGACTCGAGCGCTCAGTCGGGCGCGCTGTGGGCAGCTGCTTTCCATAATGGCTGTTGGACTGTGCGAACCTGCACGGACGGTCCGTTGCTGTTGTAAGCAGTCAGTGGAAGCTGGCAGTAGACGCAGCGGTCGCTGGGCCCAACAAATGTTTCCCGCGAGGGACATAACCGCCCCGCGAGGATTACAAATCCCCGCCAGGGACGACGGTGCCCCGGCCGAACGTTGCCGCTGGGAACGTGTCGAGTTGTTGGATACCTCGCGAGTGCGGTGGTTGTGAGGTCAAATTGGCGGTAGCTGCGTGTTTTGTTCGCGCCTGGGAGGAGGTTATTTCAAGACGGAGGGTTATTTCAATCGTTGAGTGAACTGCAGGTGGCTGCGGAAAGACGGTGGCTGGCATCTCCTAAGGCATTGATGGTGTGGTCGTCTTCCCATGATGAATTGATGGTGCGGTCGTCTTCCCATGATAAATTGAAGATCGATGTGCCTCTTTAACGAGCAATCCTTGGCAACAGAACATCTCAACTAGATCCAGCAAACGTATAAAGAGCAGAGCATGAACTCGACTCCGTTCTTTACGAGGCGAGAAAATGTCACAGAGGGTTTGTTGAACTATTAGCTTTAGCTATGCTACCGCTGCACAGGTTTCTTTGGTGGGGCAGCGCGTCAGCATAAATTAACGTTTCCCTGCTGTGATGGGAGGAGAAACATAAGCATCAAGCGACGCCAATGTGAGCCGGCTACCGAGCAATAAACAACGGGAGCAACAGATGGGATCACTTCGGCATGCCATGCCAGGTGTAGGATGTGAATCAACACCCTCATGTAAGGAACAGGACTCGGGTCTGAGAGACAGATTCCCTCCCTACAGAAATAGGATTGTCATCTTGAAGTCGAGGGGAGACATCCCCCAACGTCAGCACAAAAGACATGAAGGCAACGCCGAATGCTGTGAAAATGCCGCATCTTAGGTGTGGTTATATGGAAAGAGCCAGAACGTGAGGCGAATGGCTGAAGACTGCCAGAACTGCCCACAGTGTCGCCCATCTCAGCAACGAATCCCTAAAGCTCAGTACGCCGTCTCACATGCCCGGCCAAAGGTGGCTGTTGATCTGTGTGAGATCCAACGCCACCATAACCTGATTATCATCGATAAACTGATAAGCACGGTCGTTGGGTGGAGGTGCCCAGACCCAAACCCCCACATTACCGCGCACTGGGTAGCGATGCTGTGATGCCATCCTAGGACTAAGCCATATGGCACCTCCGCTACGGCCGCGTGAAAATACTGTTTTTGCGGGCTTGTTTCAGCATAAATATTTCCATAAATCAATTTGTTTCAAGACCTAGGACATTCAATTAAGCATGTTCACCTGTGAAATGGCGTTGGTTTGCACCAGAGCTACACACTTATTGCTGAAATACGCTACGAATCTGCCCCTGACAGAGAGATGGGGTAACCCAATCACCAGTGATTTATCCCTGAGCACTCTAGCCGAAAGTGCTTAGAAACAGTCTGTGTAAAAGAGAACAGCATACAACACCAGCAGTGTAGGGTGGAGATGAGAAACAGCGGCCCAGACGGGCTCGCAGCACCCTGGGACGCGCCTTTTTAAGCTGGAGTGCACTTCTTGTAGCCTTAGGAGGGGCGTTGCCGGGCGGATGCAGGGCTGGCTTGTTCTAATGGAGACAGTGAGGGGTGAGCCCCGGGAGGCGTAAATGCAGAGCGCGCCATTTTAGTTCAAAACAGCAAATTTTCCTGTAAAATGGGACGATATCTGGCAAGCTTTGCAATTCCGGTCAGTTAAAAAGGGGTGGCCCATATCTCACCTGGGAAATAGTCTTGGGGATATATAAGGGTAGCCGGGGTATTGTTCCCTGCGTACCGTTTTCACTTAACCCATCCGACATTATGGATCTGCAAGTTAACCAACGACTAGTAGGACCATAGTGAAGAAACAGCGAATTTTTGCCACCTGTCCTCCTCACATTATCCTATATATACTCACATCACGTTATCACATTATCCACACTTCACTCCATTTAGGCACTGCAGTAGGACGATAAATGGGCGATTATTGCCCATTTATAAATGTAATGTAAACATTACGCATGATACCCATTTCTTTACGAGTAAAAATACATTTCACAAAGCGGCATTACATCTAACTATTCAGGCACGTTGACTTCGACGAATATGGCGCGGGCACTGAACCTTGCAAACGTGGTTTAGTAGGATCTGTTTTTGGAAGCAGATCGTGGTACTACTTTGTCTTTATAATCTTTTGAATACAAAGGTGCAATATCTATTGGCATGACATTGAAAGAAAGATGTAAAACAGGATGGCTACCCAGACCATTCGGCGAAATCTCCGTTCGTAATCATTCTACTAGTATTTACCAGCCTCCGCGTAGTATCAGCCAAAAACCATACTATGGGCTACCAAACTTTAGTCCCATGGTGATGTCACGTCTGCGTAGCCTTCTCAAGTAGCCTTGCCCAGACCCATCTCGAGGGCATCTGCTCCGGCCATCCCAAAGCTGTGTGGCCTGGTTACAGTCCATGACTGACCAGACGAGGTGAAATCGGACGGCGGGCCACCTATGCTGTCTGCCGAGCTTCGGCCCCTCGTCCGCCGAGCTCCGGCCCCTCGTTCGCCGAGCCCAAGCTCCGCGTCCGCCGAGCTTTGGCTCCTCGTTCACCGAGCTTTGGCTGCTCGTTCCGCCGAGCTTTGGCTCCCCGTCCACTGAGTTACGGCTCCTCGTTCGCCGAGCTCCGACTCCTCGTCCGCCGAGCTCCGATTCCTCTTCCGCCGAGCTTTGGCTCCCCGCCCGCTGAGTTACGGCTTCTCGTCCGCCGAGCTCCGGTTTCCCGTCCGCTGAGCCTCGGCTCCTCGTCCGCCGAGTTACGGCTCCTCGTCCGCCTTGTTACGGCTCCTCGTCCGCCGAGCTCCGGCTCCTTGTTCGCCGAGTTCCGGTTCCTCGTCCGCTGAGCTCTGGCCCCTCGTCGTCGGGTGCCGGCTCCAGTAGTCGGCTTCGAGTCACTCTTCCCACCAGATAAAATGATGCGTTTGATGAGCTGTTCAACCATAAAGCACATCATGAGCATGTTGGACGTCAGTCTCCTTCTGCTGGTCTCCATGTGAATTCAACAAGCGCTGAAGCTAGAGCTGAGTCAGTCCAAACGCTCAGAGGCCATCAATTTAAGGCCAAAGCTCCGCCCAATAAGACGGCGCTCATGTCAAAGATTGCCGGCCAAGTAACTGGTATATGGCCCCGAACACACGTCGATGTAGAAAGGTGTAGAGGAAACGTGTGGAAGGTTGTAAACAGAAGGGGAGGACCATCAGACAGCTTAGTGAAACTGGGGTCTGGATCAGTGGGGTCGGAAAAATGCGTCTTTCAAACCCAGGCCGTTTGAGAGGTAAATATATTTCTAGACTATCAACACATGCTCTTATTTATTTAGACATACTTTTAGACCACGAAGCCAAAAGGGAGAAGATGATCACGGGGAATGGGAATATTTGTTCTGGAAATTAAGAAAGGCGTCCTTTCGGAGGGTAAACATTGCCTGTTGTTGTGTCTGATCAATTCCAATGTTTGAAGTTCTGTACACTTCTGACCATCTTAAAGTCCTTTTGTCGAGCTAAACAACAGTTGCAAAGCGGATGCGCGGAGTACAGCAGGCTTTTTCCAAATGGTGAGGCAATAAGGTGACAATGTCGGTAAAATAATATTTTTCGACCAAGCGGTACAACTCCGATTGAGAAATTTCCCAGCAAGTATACACCTATCGCTTTGGCCACGGGCAGTTTGCTGCGCCAGTCTTCTTCACGCATGTGTGCGCAATTAATTACAGTAGTCGTCATGCAGACAGAAATATCATGCAGGCAGAACCCCTACCTGGCATACCCGATTCCACGGTCAGACAAACAGTGCTCATTCCTCACTGCTGACAACTTGCTTTACTTCGAATAGAGCACACAATTAACGCTATTTATGTATGTAACTAATCATGGACTTTGTGAGGCTCCTGATAACACACTGATAATCACAGGTAGACATCGGCAAAAAGTCTCGAACAAATAGGCATCTGCTGCCGCACTGTGCTTCGGTACCCATCAGATACGACGAACGAAAGTCAAAAAATGACATTCGTCGCCTTAACAATGACACTTGTCGGCCAGATAAGCCGAACAGGACAGTTTGGTGACAAAACCGGTTTGCCATGTCGCATTGATTATGGTAGGAGCGGGGGCCCGGCCGACCGGGCCAGTTGGGTGTCCACTGCCGGGCAGCACCTCTGGTGGCACGTTGCCAGCCAGGCCCGTGTCGCCGCGCCGGGCGCATCCGGCTGTCTGTCCGGCTGTCTGCCTGGCTGTCTGCCGAGCCCAAGCCGTCCTCCGGCGGCTTCAGCATGTCGTCGGCAGCAAGCTGTGCAGCTGAGGCATAGGCTGGTTGGTGGGGGACAGCGGTCGCCATGGAAACAGCGATGAGGTAAGCTGTTACTCGGGAGGGGGGGGGGGGGGCGTCAATGTAACTGGCCGCTGATGCGTACAAGACCATGCTTCCTCGATAGGTGTCATTTGAAGGCATGTCTGCAGCTGTGTCAGCCACGCGGACCTTAACGGATGTAAAGCAGACGGGAGCTTACATAACACAGCAGTACTAGCCTTATTCCTCGGAGAAAAAGCACTTCTGCTATTGTGTCGATAAAGGCATGTTGTCGAAATATTATCGCATCTATGCCTTCATCTCCTGGTTTTTCTCCGAGGAATAAGGCTATTACTACTGTTTTATGTATGTGAATTATGTTCCTCGCAAATACACTAGGTAACCCGCGTAATTTTACACCGGAGCTCGTTGTAGGTGCGTGATGTTTTCATGCGCTCTGAGCTCGACGGTGGGTTGACCACATCATAATATCGTTATCAATATGCGATAGAATCAATGAATATTTTTGGGAGTACTCGGGGATAGAAAATGATCTCGCCAGATGCTGTATCTGTTTTAAGAGGTTTCCTCACTAATTACGAGCTTGTCGCCTACGACCGTTGGTTTGTGAACAAGCCTCAAGAGTGCTAAAGTCGAGCAGAAATTGGCACTGGATAGCTTGCATAAGTCTGCATCAAATGGACATAATGGAACACCAGTATAAGTGAGCCCTGATGAATTATGCCAGGGCAACGACGTAAAAATATTGAACTCAGGCTCATTTTTTCAGTTTCAAAGTTATTTCATGCATTCTTTGTGTGCTCGACAGCAGGAAAAGCGGCATTGTATGGCTGTTGGCAAGATAGGCCATGCATCGAGAGTAGCATACCGGTGGATGTGACCTTGGGCATGTCAAATCAGTTCATACCAGTCAGCTTTTGTCTGCAGACCCCTGTCTCCGTTGTATCAGGCGCAAAGCTGAGTACGAGGCCAGCCAAGACAAGCGACGCTGCACAGCGCTTA